AAGAAAACAGTAGTGGGATGGGAAGAGAGTTGGAAAGAGAAGGGAGAGTGCCTGCTCCAAGCCCATGCACCAGTGGCCTGGAACATGAACTGTCTCCCAGTACAGAAACCAAGGGAATTAGTCTAGGAGTTGTAAAAATGATACAATGCGTAAAAAGGACCAGGAGAGAGATGTGCTGCTTTGGTATGAGAGAGTGCAGAGGCATAGTATCTTCTTGGGGTAGAGCTCCAAAGAGATTGGGACCACTTAACAGAGGTTAAGAATTGAGAACTGAAATTACTTTCTCTGTCAGACTAATAATTGTCTAAAAGAAACATTAACACAGTGCAAGAGACCCTTGTTCAGAAGTTTGTAGCTACAGGAACAATCGGTGTGCTTAAGGTGATTGCCATGGAGTGGGATATGGAAAGCTGGGTTAGCAAAATTCAGGGCTCCAATGACAACTTAAACACGGAGTCCTGTCAAGCAACCCCAGTTACACTAATTGAGCAGACCTGTGGAAATGGGGGTTCTGTTCACCAGAAAGTGGCTGCTAAACTGCCCTTTACTCAGAGCAAAATTAAAGATGTGGGAAACTTACTGTACCAAAACGCCCTTGCAGTGGCTGTGGAAGGTACTGGGAAACTGGAGCCATGAAGATACAGCTGACAGCTCGGAAGTACAGAGCTCTTGGGAGTTTGGGACCTATGTCACCTGTGATCACTGGCCTGTGCAATGGAGGTGGGCTATTAGATCAGCTGATGGAGGGCTATGTTGAGCAATGGCTCCAGTGATTAGGAACAATTACCTATGCCCTTCTGGTATCACCTGGTAACTCGATAGGACATCCTGTTGATCAAGGAGTGACCTGTATGTGCTGAGGTGCATACTGGAAAGCCACCATATGATCAGAAGCATGGCCAAGGGTAATGCCAAGAGTCCAGGGTTATACTTGACATCAAAAGAAACATCAAGAGGGAGTTCTCCATGCTCCCATCTTACATGCTGGTACTTACGGAAGCTCCTGAAAAAAAAGGGGGAGGATATGATAGAGTGAGACAGAAACCCCTTCAGAGATCTAGGACTGCAAGTTAAAGAATTGTGAGCACAGGGGAAAGGTCAGAGCTCAGTTAATGTTACAGGATGAGGGGCAAGTTTAAGGGAAACAAAGTTGTTCGGTGCATTTTACTCCTTGAACGGGGAAAATGACTACGCTGTATCAAATGGACATTGTTCATGACATGTTTTGGTTCTGGATAAAGTCATACTGCTGTTGAATCCCTGGTTCATTCCTTAAAGGTGTTGTTTTTTGCTTGTAAAATGTCAATCATTTGCTTGTACGCTGAGGTGTGGAGAATAACTCTAACTGTTATGATGTTCTTGATTATATGTTTTACAGGAACAAGACATGAAGTTTATAACAAGAATACATTCAGATTTTTATAACAACACTTAAAATTGTATTTGGAGGGATGGAGTGCAGAGTTCATAATATGAGTGACTTGCAGCTAAAGAATAATTGCTGTTTGCGGGAGGCCTGGATCTGGGGGGGCTGTGGAGAGGCTGCCAAAGGAGAAATGACAGTCAGAGGATCCTCAATAACTAAACAAAGCAAGCAGAGGATGCTGACCAGGATACTCTCAGGGCTCCCACAAGAGGACTGTCACCCATGTTGTCCTAGTGTGACACCCACCAGAGGAGTGAACAGGAGAGGATGTCCTCAGATCACCTTAGAGACTGAGGGGGATTACTGCTTATGAGGGCTTGGGATTCATTATGGCATGCCAGGAAGACTGTTTTGGGATTGCAAAAAATTTACTGAGATGTGTTTGGAGGGGGGGACCAAAGGCAGGGAAAGAGGGGAATGAAGGTGAATTGGTGACAAGCAAGCATGGGGAAATAGGGAAAGGGGATAAAAGGGGCTGGTAATGTGTAAACTGCTGGTTAGTATGCTAAACTGGTGATGTCCTTTGCCTGATCACCACAGTCTGTCCTCTTATTAAGCTCCATTTCTAACTGTTTTCCTGTGCAAAGGGACTCTCTATTCTGTGTGCAAGTGTATGGAGGTCTAAGAACCTGCAACTGGAGAGGGAACTATGGGTCACAGGAGAACATGTGTCTGGGGTGCCAGCAATAGGACAGGCTGGAGTGTGTTTGTGCATATGTATGTCAGTATGTGTAATCACTAGTCTTGAAGAGTTTTTGCAGAGAAAATAATGGAAATACTTGTGTATATATACAAAAGCAGATGGCCCCTTATCGCAAAGCATCACAGGGACAGTTTGAAAATTAATGTTTTCAGTTTTGTTTATTTACTTTCATGCATCCAGATGTTTTGAAGCACCTTTCATTTAGTTCCAGATGAGGCATACACTTGGTTGGGATGGAACTAATCTCACCAAAGTTTAGCCACACAGGCATAACTCTGATATACAGCCTACCTCAGAGGTAATGAAAAGAGAGAAATAATTACAGAATTCAATTAATTCAACTTTTCCTTAAAGCATTGCTTCATCAAACACAGGGAACATCAGACATTTCATTTGACCAAGTGGTGGTCTTGTCTTTTGCTATTACCTGCATAAAGGTAAAGGGCTAATTTAATTTTAGTTTTTTGGGGGAATAAGAAGTAATAAAATCTCTTGAAAAATCCTTCTGTAGCATTTATGCTCCAGTGTGTAAATCTCACCTACATCCAGATGTCTACGATATGAAGATGTTCCCCCAAGCTAGTCATCTAACCAGTTATCAATTAGCCCCAGAAAGGTGATTGTTGACCTGTGTGTACAAGGCCATGGGTTGCTGGCTGACTATTGCTCTTCTTCTGCACGAGGGTGTAGACCCATAGCTTCCATTTGCAGAAACCTGTTCCTGAATATTTTTGTCTCTTCACCTTTCCCACCTCCCTCCAATACAGCCCATCTCCAGCCTCTTCCTATCTGATTCTAAAATTTATTTCCTCCAGGTTCTTAAGTTCCCTCTCCTCCCAATCCCAGCCTGCTCATAAGTATGCCCAGGGCACTAGCAACACTCAGTTTAGCTCCCCACCCTCTTCCAAACTGTGTGGCTGTTGTTCTGCCAACAGTTCCACTAATCCGTAGTGCTATAATTTATATTTTCTTCAGTTTAATCCACAGTTGCAACCCCCTCACCCAAATCTTCCATTCCCTCTCGGTGAGTCCTGTGGTGTCCTCTCTTGCTGCTAACATGCTCTCATTGTTGCTCATATGCATGCTGTAAGCATACACATAGTGGCTGAGGCACTCATTTCCCTCTTGGAGGAGTTGTAGCAATGCAACTCATATACAGGGTAGCTGAGGAAGGTATAGGAAGCTTCTGGATAGCAAAATGTTCCTCATTACACAGCACTGAACCTCCACCCAACAGGAAAGAGCTGCCATCTCCCTGGTTCATGCCCCCACCCCACGCCGCCCTAGAATTATAGAAGTAGCTTTGAATCATGAAATCAGACATAGAAATATGGAGTGAGATCTACTTGACCTAAATTTAGGTGTGGGAAATACAGTTGTCTTTTTTTGTCCAATTGTTTTAAGTTTTTATTAGACTAAGTGGAAATTAGTCAATGCATGCCAGGGACTTTTTTCCCTCATTATTAATTAAAATTATTTAATCACTTTGCTTAGACTGATAGATCTTGAGCTTATTCTCATATAAAGTTAAAATTTATCCAAATCTGTATGCCAAAATCCACTCTTTTTGTACAGTGGTAGAGAATATCAGAATGATATTCTGATATCACAAGATTACTTACAATTATTTAATCTTAACAACATCGGAGTTTAAAGCAGCTCCAACCTCATCAATCTTATTGGCAATAAACTGGCCAAATTAATGGAAAGGAAAGCAAAGAATATAATGAAGAGGAAGTACTCAGTCAAAAGTAAACTCATCCAGCCCCTACACTGGTCGAACTCCCACTGGTATATATGCTTGTAATATGACTCACAAGTTTGGCTCTAACCAATCACAATCACAAAAATGAACTAATGATTTAGAGCCAAAAGAACCGTCACTGATTCTGTGAATAAATTATTCTCCTGATTTTAATTCAGTTTAAATGATGAAACTCCAGGTAGTTCAAACTCTAATCATTACATACACACATACATACATTCACAAAACCAATATTTTGTTGAATAACTCTTACACTAAAGGATTGCATATTACAGCTTCCTGGATCACAATTGTGCTAATAAAGGTGAGTAATTTTGTGAGACTCTTCTCATCCTTACTGTTCTATTATACTGTATAGTTTGATATCATTAATATTGAACTACAGTGGATAATTTTACGCCAAAAGAGAAGAATAATTTTATTGAGATTAGCCTTGGTAAATGTTTGGATTCATCTAAACTAATCCTGCTTGTCTAATTGCTTTTTAGGTCTTAACTAATAATCCATATTCCTGGGAGAAATAAACTCCTCCAAAGAGTGATTTTATTCATCCTAGAAATGAAATCTAGGACTGTTAGGCTTGAATCGTGCTCTGCAGATCTGTATCTCTGTTCAATGATTATAAGGAACTGTAATGACTAGATAACCGGTACATGTTGTCATCATGAGTATCTGAAGATAACAGATAAAAGCTAGCCTCAGGGCCTAAATTTCAGTCTGGACTTTGGATCGCTAACTTTCTTTTCACATGAGCCTGAGTCTGAAATATAAACCAATGGAACCAAATACTCAGGCAAATTTCAAGCCACAATTACTTTTCCATCCTTTTTTTGTTATGCACTGAAGGTAAATGAAAAGTCTTAATTTTTAAAATGGAATGAGAGAGTGAAACTAAACATGTAATTGCTGTGTTAGTGCTGTTTGGGATGTAAGACCCGAGAGGAACATTCAGAAATGTTCATTTGCTCAAGGAACTTTAGAGACAGGCATACCTAATATTGAGTTCTGTAACAGACCCAGCTAGCTGTGGACAGGACATCAAGTGCAAGCCTGCCTCTGATTATTCTTGTTGTTTTTTGTTATTCAGTTTTTGTCTAGGCATTCCCATGGAAAAGGAAAATTGGACAGTAGTCACTGAGTTCGTCTTTCTGAGATTCACTAGCTGGCCAAATGTACAGATAGTGCTTTTCACATTATTTCTTATCATTTATCTCCTCTCACTTGTGGGCAATGTTCTTATTCTCATCATTGTTTTAGTTGATTCATATCTTCATAGTACCATGTACTTCTTCATTAGCAACCTCTCAGTAGTGGAAACCTGGTACACAACAGTCACAGTATCTAAAACATTAGCCAACTTCTTGATGGAGAAACGCACCGTCTCTGCTTCAAGCTGCATTGCTCAATATTACTTCTTCTTCTCTTTTGCTGCCATCGAACTGTTCCTCCTTACAGTCATGGCATATGACCGCTACCTGGCCATCTGTAAAGCATTACATTATTCCACTATCATGAACCCAAAGACCTGCCATAACTTAGCCTTGATCTGTTGGTTGTCAGGATTCATCTGCCCTATTTTTCCTTCCACCTTGTTCTCCAGGATTTCTTTCTGCACTAAAAAAAATCAACCATTTCTTCTGTGATGCTGATCAGCTCTTCTGACTTTCATGGAGTGACACGTACAGCATACAAATCGTGGGCTATACTTTCAGCACCATCATTATAATGTCCTCTGTCCTTTTCATCATGACTTCGTACCTCCAAATCATCATGACTGTCCTGGAGGTAACATCAGGTGCTGCATGCAAAAAGACATTTTCTACCTGTGCCTCACATCTCTCTGTTGTCACCATCTATTTTGGGACTCTTATCTTTATGTATGTCCGGCCTGCAGTGAAATATGAGTCTGATACCAATAAAGTGGTGGCTGTTTTTATTCAGTAATTACACCATTGCTGAATCCAGTAATATAGACACTAAGGAATAAGGATGTGAAACTAGCCATAATAAAAACTTTCTTAAGGAATAAAGGTCAAGTTTTGGAAATTTCAACCTCTTTTCTCAAATGATTGATGTATCTGTACTGTGTAGGGATTAAAGCATTTATATTTAAGTTTGAAGTAAAAATTCTGTCTCTTGTTTTGGTTGGGTTAAAATGCAAGTCATGGTTTAGACCACTCATCTATACATGCATACATCTGCATCTGGAAAAGGTATTCAACTCACCCAAAGTCTGACATCTAGTTTAAATACTCTGTGAATTAGCGGATATATTTTGTAAGTTAAGTCCTTTTGCTTTATCACTTTTCAGGTGAGTGTATAAAATAAACATATGAAGTATAAAAGGGCTCATTCTAAACGGATGTAAAATTCTCATCTGAAAATTAATAAAGAGTTGATGCAAAAGAATTAACATAAGTAGCAAGGTGTCACAAATGTTACAACCACGATTTTCATGCTTCATCATCATGATCATATTAGTTTCTCCATTTTATTTTTAGTGGTATCCTACAGTTTGATTCAGCTGTCCAAGCATATGTGTCTAGTACTATTTTTAGAGTCTTAGCATATCCTGTCTGGTGCCATTAGAGAAATGCTGTAGATTATTCAAGATATCTGCATGGGGCTGGCAGATGTGACTGGAGCTACAACCTCAGACCCTTCTGGAAGGGCAGATAAAGGCTCAGAGGGGTATCCTGGGGCATCTCATATAGCACTAAGTGCTTATGTTCAGGTACGCTCCTACTCTGCTGTTTCAGCTGAATCACACCCACTACTCCTTTGCCTGTATTGACTAGATCTTCAAAGAATGTAGCTGGCGTTTGGATGCTGCTTCATTTGTACACTCCCATGGCTTATTGCCATTTTCCATATATATGTATCTAGTGACATCTGAGGTGCCCACTCAGCATATGGGAGAACCATGTCCTTCTGTAATAACAGCTACAGGTGAGACAGTATATCCTAGAATCTCTCAGCTGACACTAGGTGTCTATGTTTAGGAAACTGAACTACACCCATGAACTAGGTACAGATTAACTAGATACAGTCTGTCATTGGGGCTGAATTCTGCTTTTCATATTCATGCAGATGTCATTGGTGAGATGAATGAGGTGAAGTAAACACATGCTTTTGCATGTGGGCTGCTTGCATTGCCCTAAGTAGGAGCCAAAGCTTTGGTAAGGAATGGCATGCCTTTTCTCCACTCTGTACTGGAGTAGCAATAGGGAACTAAATAGGGGTGTTTCCGCACGCAGGTTTAGTCCTCAAAAATCCTGCTGAAGTGGTGGAAACCAGTGATTGGAGGAGTTTCTGGGGACAGGAAGAGTACTGGGAAGCTCAGGAAAGAGACTGTGAATCTAGGGATAAAGGTCAAGGCTACCTTCCTGTAGGACTTGCTCAAAATTTAAGTTAACTACCTTATTAATGACCTGGACAGAAAATGTTTGGACTAGGGAAAAGCAGTCAATGTGCTGGAGGGCAGGGCTACTGTTCAGAAGGACTTCAACAGGCTGGAGAAATGAATCTCATGAAGTTCAACAAATGTAAAGTCCTATACCTGGGACAGAATAGTCCTGTACAAATGGACAGGCTAGGGACTATCTGGGAAGTAGCTTTGCAGAAAAAGTCCTGGGTTCCTGGTGGATTACAGCCTGAGCATGTGTCATCTGTGTGTCCTTGCAGCAAAGGTCAACCGCATCCTTGGCTGTCTTATCAAGAGTGCAGCCAGCAGGTCAAGAAACAATTTCTCCCTACAATCCCTACATATGAGACTGCACCTACAGTTGTGTGCCCAGATACACAGTATCTTTCTTGTGCGCATAGGAGAGATATTAGAATACTTGAGCAAGACCATTGGAAGGCCAGCAAGATAATTAAGGAGTTAGAGCACCCCAGCAAGAGCAGTCTTGTCCCAGGAGACACTCAGGGAGCAGGGCTTGTTCAGCCTGAAGAAAAGACTAAGGGAAAATTGTATTGCTTTCTCTCCTACCTAATGGAGGGTGTGGAGAAGGCAGAGGCAGAGTTTGCCTCTTTCAGAGTGCACAGTGGAAGGAGAAGGTGTAAAGAACATAGCCTGGATCATGGGAAATTCTGACTCAGTATAAAGAAGTGCTTTTTTAGCTTGAGGGTGGTCAAAGAGTGAACCAATCCGAAGAGGCTGTGGTATCTATTCTTGGAAGTGCTCTGAACTCAGCTGGATTAGGCCTTGAGCAGCCTGCTTGAACAGGCTTCACTTAAAGCAGGAAGTTGGACTGGAGACCTCACAATGTCCTTTCCAGTCTACATGATTTCATGGACTTAAGTAATTACAGGTTTTTATGATTGCAGGATTCTAGGTGGCTGTCATCTCCTACAGCAAGAAGTGGAAACGTACAGCAAGCGAGTCATCTTATTGCAGCTTCACTATTACTACACACCACTTCTTGCTGTAGGAGATGACATACTCCTAGAATCCTACAATCATAAAAACTCTGGTACTCATAGATACAGTCTTTACAAGACATAATGCTCAACCAAAAAGTATCTATTTAAACCAAGTGATCCAAACTTTTGTAAGACCTACCTGGAAGGAAATCACTCACTGGAAAAGGAAAACAAAAAGTAATTATATAACTTCTCCTTGTTGGTACAGAATTTTTTGCATTAACACCTGAAAAAGCAACAGAAAAAAGGGGAGCGGGGAGGGGGAGTGTGCTGCCAGGGGGATATCTGGGAGCTGAGGCAGTAGAACATGCAAGAAACGACTAGAAGTAATGAGTGGTCTGGGACTGCCCCCCATCCCTGCCGAAACCAGGACAATGAGGAAGAAGTGATGGCTCCCATGCCCCATGAGCAGCCCCACCCCAACCCAGCACTCCCATCAGGGCCTATGCCACAAACAGTGAGTGTCCAGGGGCCTGTCCCCAGCCACTGTTGCAGCCAAAGTCTGCACCCACACAGGCACTTCAGGCAAGTTCGTCAGCCTGCCTTCCTGACACCCTTCCCTGACTTTTCGTTTTCCACTGTGACTCATCAGATCTAAGAGGATACAGGTAGGAAGCCAGTTTTGGACCAGCAAGGAAACCTTGGAAAAAGAGATGGGCATCTTGGGTCTTTCTTGTAGACAGTACTGAGCTTGCTCAGAGTCATACACCTGCAGAAAAGAGAATGCCAAAGCTCCAGACCTGGAAACGGCCCTGTTATGGGTGTCCTCTGGAAGCCTATATCCAAAGAAAGGTTCCCATTTTCTTGAGGGCCACTGAGACCTCCTTGTTCCCCAGAGGACAGACTATTTAGGTTGAGAGCTGGAGTCACCAAAGTGCACTAGGTAGCTACAATCCTTTCTCTGTCAAAGGAATAGCTGGGCACAGCCTGATGTCAATGTAGATGAATATGGAATAATGAAAAGACAACATGATGAGGGGGAAGAAGCGAGTAGACAAAGCTTTCCTCTTTCCTGCATGTGAGGTACAACTGGAGCATGCCCTCAGAGAAGGACATGGTATTCCTGAGGGTCAATAAACTTTACAGCATCTTGGGCATGATCATAGTGGTGCAGATGATGACCACCAGTGCTAACTGGAAGAGGAAGAGATACTTGGGATTGTGGAGGCTGGAGTTGGAAAAGGTAGCAGCAAGGATGACTGTGTTGCCTAGTGGGCAAAAACATGGAAAGGAGGAGGAAATGGAGGGGAAAAAAACCAGCATAATTAATATTGTCATAGAGCTTTCGTTCTTCATCACTGCATGCCCCCGGGATTCTTACAGGCAAAGGCACTGGTTTCCCATAGTTAAAGTGACATCCCTACAGCACAGAGATTAACCTAAGAGTTATTTCCCTAAACTCCATTTATAATCCAAGAGGAGAAACAGGCAATTCCTGATCCTCATGTGTTAGCCCTGCTAACCACCAGTCTACCTCCAGAACAGGCCAGTCATGATTTAGAACACCTCATGCTTTCCATGGGCTATAAAGTAGTCTAGGTGTCTAGTTCAGACATGGGTCTATGCTTTGCAGAAGCCCAAAATTAGGAAAGATGGTTCCCACCCAATGTAAACCACTCCTTTAGCCTTATTGCCACCTAGACCTTACCAAAGTGTTGTCCAAAATGTTAATGAGCTCAAAAAAACCCCCAAACAACACAGCTTAACTCAAAAAAAAAAAAAAATCATAAGGAGGAACACGTATGTTTCAAAAGGTATTCAACTAAACCCATTTAAGCTAAATGCAACATTGGTATCATTGCCAACCCCAGTTGTGCCAACTGCCAAATACTGATTCACCTCTATAACGGCAAAATCTTCTTTTCCTCTCCTTGTGCAGTTCAGTTAGTAAGGTTTCATTGGGACAATTGTCAAAAATTTTCTACACCAGTACTGACATTTAAAAATGGGCCTTGAAAATCTTCCACAATTGTAGTGAATAATCATTGATATTTCTGCCTAAACACATTGTGGTCTGTGTCTATAAATGGACAGTGCTTACTTATTGAATGGATTAGTTTAATTCTGGGCTCCTCCTGAGCTGAACCACCCCATTCCAGCAAGAAACCCATTACTGCAGGGAGATGGTATGGAAACAGACTGCATCGAGAGTGTTTCCATCACTATCCCAGCAGATCTTGCACATGAAAATGGTCTTTTCTTGTGCCTCTTCAGGTCTGCAGTACGTACCATCATTGCTGTGCCACAATACAAAGCAAAATACCCTTTGGTACTTTGCAACATGACCCTGTCTTAATTTCAGACTCTTAATGTGGATACTTCCTTCCAGAGAAAACATTGTTTTAGCTTGCCATCACAAGTGGCTGAGAGCAGATCTTAGCAGTGTACACGGTTTATGTGGCCATTCCACTCCATGGAGTGCAAACCTTTTCCCATTAATTGGAAAAGGATAAACAATGAAAATGTGAGTCCATCCTGAATGTGGCCAGTGATTTAGTGGCAGCAGATGCAGATACAGCTGAGGTACCCAGTACCTTCTTTGTTTTGATCTTCACTGGCAATGTGTCCAAGAGACAGAACCTCAAGAAGAAAAGGAACTACCAATAGTGGGAAAGAATCAAGTAAGGAGTCTTTTGAGAAATCT